ACCTTCTACTAAAAATATATTGAACTAACTTTACGGCTAAGGTACAATGGTTGAGTGACATTTTCGTCCATGCAGGTCGGGGCATTATAGCGTGGTATCATAGTACGAGTTTAGTCGATTCTGTAGACTTAGTGTATTTTATGAGAAAAAAATGAAACATTTAAGGCACTCCATGGCATCTTGTGTCTATCAGTTGACCTCATCCGACAAACCCAAGGTATGAAATAAAATATTATGCTCCACATTATTTTTTTCGACCATGATTTTGATTTTTTTTAATCATTTAAGCTTGAATCTATGAAAAATGCTTATGATTTTTTGAATGAAATATGTTATGTACATTATATTTTGTTCAAATATACGTGAAGAAATGATGATTGGCCATCATATTAGAACCTCAAGAGCATAATGTATAAGTTGATATCACAAATGAAGATAACGTATAATTGGACACTTATGTGAAAGACATGGCTAGAACTTATCAGACCGCTAGAAAGACCATAGTTTATATAGCAGTGTTGAACTGTAGGGCCATCATCCAGTCCTATGAGAACTATGTGACTGGCTCGTCTCGTCCACTTGTTGAACACGTACATGATATCTACGAGAGATGTATGGTAGTTGTAGATGTGGGATTGGAGATCACGCATATCGAGGCTGTGAATAACCTTATACATTCACTTCCACCTTAGTGGGGAAACATGGGAGTCATTGTTAGGGATGAGATGCTAGAGGGTAACCATCCAGAGCACCCAAATATGATTGAATTTGGTATATATTGTCAGACCTTTCTAGACAGATGGAGTGAGAGTTTAGAACCCCAATCAGAGATAGTAATTGAGCCCAATAATGAGGTTGAGCCTGAGCTCGAGCCCGAACCTTAGTTTGAATCAGACCTAGAGAAAGATCCCGAATGGGACCATGAGGATGACTTTGGGTTGGACTTAGAGAATGATCTTGAGCATAAACCTGAGCCACAGGTTGAGATGGACCTAGAGTCAGGGCCTAAGATAGAAGACTCCTCCGAAGATGAGGCTCTACCGAAGAAGATTCGCAAGATTCATAGGGATTAGAAATTAGATTCCTTTTCCCTGTGTTATCTTTTCCTTAATGTTATAGAAGTAAAGGTCATCGAACTATTGTATATCCTAATTTCAAGGAGCACTTTTAATAATACAAAAAAAAATCAATTCTAGTTTAAGATCTTGGCAGGTTGAATTAGAATCCAGCTCCACCTATACCACCAGGTCCTATTACTCTTTTGACTCACGCCTCGATAGTTGAGTTATTTTGAAGGCATAAGCCCCATAACTTTGATGGAGCATCTAGTCCACTAGTAGTTGAGGAATGGCTTCGTAAGCTAGAACGAATTTTTTGGCTCATAGACTACACTGATGCCCAAAGGGTTCAATGTGTAGAGTTTATGTTTATCAATGATGCAAGTCACTGGTGGGATTCGATGTCCCAAACTAGGACTACGGAGCAGCAATTGGCAATAACTTGGGAACAATTCAAGGAAGAAGTGATGGACAAATATTTTCGTCAATCTTTAAGGGATTTCAAGGAGAACGAATTCCTTCAACTTAAGCAGGGTAATATGTCCCTAACGGATTACGAGCAGAAGTTCGATCAACTCTTAAGGTATGCTCCACATCTGGTTGACACGGAAATGAAGAAAACTCGAAGGTTTGAGCAAGGGTTAAACCCAAACCTAAATATGATCCTTATGTCACATCGCTTCACATCGTACCGTGAGATGCTGGAACGAGCTCACGCTATCTGGTATCAAAAGGCTAATGCAGAGCAACATCGTCAATTGTACAACCAGCAGGATAAAGGGCAAATTGGAAAGAGAAAGTAGAATGGTCAAGACAAAGGAAACGGCAAATGGCAAAATAAGAAAGTTAATATCGGATCTAGCGCCAGTAAGGCCATGGTAGTTGCAGTAGCGCCATGCCCTAAGTGTGGTAAACCTCATCGTGGTGAATGCTTGTATGGGAAGAATGCCTATTTTCGGTGTGGCAAATCAGGACATATTGCTAGGGATTGTCCAACATTTGCTCATAGGAAGGATGATAACAATGATCAGAACAAGAAGGGGAAAGCACGAGTTTTTACATTGACTTAAAAAGATGCAGATGGGAACTCAAACGTAATAATAGGTATTTTACTGGTAGCCAATACACCTGCTTATATACTGTTTGATTCAGGAGCTACTCAATCTTTCATATCAACATCTTTCATTGCTAAATCTAGTATTACTTGTAATAAGTCAAAGAGTACACTAGAAGTTAGCCTTCCCTCAGGTAGGACATTGAACAGTAACAAGTTAGCTATGTTAGTGAAATTTGATATTGAGGGAAACACCTTAGAAGCTAATTTGCATATGATGGATATGAAAGACTTTAATGTGATTTTGGGCATGGATTGATTAGGATGTAATTATGCGACCATTCGTTGTAGAGAAAGGGAAGTGTCTTTTCAAAAACCAGGAGAAGAACAATTTTCTTTCCTCGGAATAAAGACCAAACCCCATCTCCAACTGGTTTTAGCCTTACAAGCCAAGAAAATGTTGAGAAAAGAAACATCTCAAGGGTTTCTAGTTAATATCTTTGGAGAAAAACTGGCAATGACAAAGATTGAGGATGTACCAGTGGTATAAGAATTTATAGATGTGTTTCCAGAAGATCTACCTGGTATTCCACCAGATAGACAAGTGGAATTCACAATAGATCTGGTTCCCAGAGCGACGCCAGTATCTAAAGCCCCATATAGAATGGCCCCAAAGGAACTCCAGGAGTTGAAAATCCAGTTACAAGAATTGTTAGACCTTAGTTTTATTCTACCAAGTGTATCACCATGGGGCATACCAGTATTGTTTGTAAAGAAGAAAGATGGAAGTATGAGGATGTGTATCGACTATCAGGAGTTGAACCGTTTGACCATTAAGAATAGGTATCCTTTCCCTATAATTAAGGATTTGTTTGATCAATTGAAAGGGGCTAAGGTATTTTCTAAGATCGATTTACGATCTAGATATCATCAATTGAAGGTTAAGGCAGATGATATACCTAAGACAGCTTTCAAAACTCATTATGGACATTACGAGTTCACAGTTATGCCATTCAGATTGACAAATGCTCCAGCAGTGTTCATGGATCTGATGAATCGAGTATTTCATCAGTATTTGGATCAATTTGTTATAGTCTTCATTGATGATATTTTGATATACTCCAAGAGTAAAGATCAACATGAGGAACATCTTAGAATAGCATTAGAGATACTATTCAAGGAAAAGTCATACGCCAAATTCAAAAAGTATGAATTTTGGCTTGAACGAGTTGGATTTCTCGGTCATGTAGTTACTGCCCAAGGAATTGAAGTAGACCTAGTAAAGGTGGAAGCAGTAACTAATTGGAAGACACCGACTAATGCTGGTGAAGTTCGAAGTTTTCTTGGATTGGTTGGGTACTATCGAAGATTTATAGAGGGATTCTCCAAAATAGCTAGACCAATGACACAATTGACAAGAAAAAGAGTAAAGTTTCAATGGACAGATTAGTGTGAGCAAAGCTTTTAGGAGCTAAAACAACGATTGATCACAGCACCTATACTAACCATACCTGAAGGTCCGGAAGGGTTTGTTATATATAGTGATGCATCCAAGCAAGGTTTGGGATGTGTACTGATGCAGCATGAAAAAGTAATTGCCTACGCTTTAAGGCAATTGAAGCAATATGAGCAAAACTACCCGACGCATGATCTAGAACTTGCGGCAGTGGTTCATGCATTAAAGATATGACTCCATTACTTATAAGGAGGGAAGTGCGATATTTATACAGATCATAAGAGTCTCAAATATTTCTTCACATAGAAGGAATTGAATATGAGACAGAGACAATGGTTGGAGCTAGTGAAAGATTATGATTGCACTATTCATTATCATCCGGGTAAGGCTAATGTTGTTGCTGATGCTCTAAGCAGAAAGTCAATGGGACAGTTGGCATCATTACCTACTATTTCGATGGAGTTGATCAAAGACTTGGAAAAGTTACAAATTGAAGTGATTACCACACCAGAACAAGTCACTGCTCATTTACCAACTTTGGTGGTTTGACCTACTCTTAGAGATCAGATCATAGAAGCACAGGATAAGGACCCATTCTTGCAGAAGATCAAGAACGAGATTGGTACTGATAAGAGAAAGGATTTTGGAATAGCTTCAGATCAGGTACTAATATTTAAAGGAAGAATTTGTATACCAAATGATGAAGTTTTGAGGAAGGAGATATTGGAGGAGGCTCATTCCACCCCGTACGCCGCACATCCTGGGAGTACAAAAATGTATCGAGACCTTCAAATACATTTTGGTGGAGGGATATGAAAAGAAGTATAGGTTCATTTGTGGCAAAATGCATAGTATGCCAACAAGTTAAAGGAGAACATCAAAGACTGGCAGGGTTATTAAATCCATTAGACATACCTAAATGGAGGTGGGAGAATATCGCAATGGACTTTGTGGTAGGATTTCCAAGGTCAGCAAGAGGACAGAATGCTATATGGGCAATAGTGGATCGTCTAACAAAGTCAGCTCATTTTCTTCCAGTAAAAATGACATTCAGTCTTGATCAGCTGGCGCAGTTGTACATTAGAGAGATTGTAAGATTGCATGGTGTCCCCGTGTCCATTGTATCTGATAGAGATTCGAGATTTATGTCAAAGTTTTGAAAGAGCTTACAAGGAGCTATGGGAACGAAATTGAATTTCAGTACAACATATCACCCTCAATCTGATGGTCAGTCTGAAAGGACCATTAAAATTTTGGAAGATATACTAAGGGCTTGTGTTCTGGATCTAGGAGGCAGTTGGGAACCGTATATATCTCCGGTAGAATTTACATATAGCAACAGTTTCCAAGCAACTATTGGAATGACACCGTATGAAGGTCTCTATGGTAGAAAATGTAGATCACCTGTTCATTGGATGAAGCCATTGAAAAGATCCGTACCAGGATAAAGGCCACGTAAGATAGATAAAAGAGCTATGCAAATACTAGGAGAAAAGACTTGAAATTTGAAGTTGGAGAGAAAGTCATTCTAAAGGTGGCACTAATAAAGGGTGTACTTAGGTTCGGCAAGAAAGGCAAACTATGACCTAGTTACATCGGACCTTTTGAAATACTTGACAGGGTTGGAAATGTGGCTTATTGATTGGCGTTGCCACCTGAACTATCGACAGTTCACAATGTGTTTCATGTATCGATGATCAGATAGTATATGCATGATCCTGATCATGTGGTCAACTACCAATCCTTGGAAGTACAAAAGGACTTATCTTATGAGGAATTATTGATCAAGATACTGGATCGAAAGGTACATAAATTACGGAACAAGGAGATTCAACTAGTTAAGGTGCAATGTAATAATCACGGAGTAGAAAAAGCTACGTGGGAAAGAGATGAAGAAGTTAAAGATAAATACCCAACACTCTTTGTCCAACCATAAGGTAAATTTCGAGGACGAAATTTTATTTAAGGTGTAAGGGTTGTAGTAGCCAAGAAAAATAAAATGGAATTATCCTAATATTTGGTGATGATCTAGCACCACGAGCCTAACCCATTTTAGAAACGATCTATGGAAGCTCAACCCATGTAAGATTACGAAAGCCCAAGTCATAAGTTAATTAAATGCCCTGTAATTTAAGAGATTAAGCTTAAGTAAAATTGATTACAAAGATTTAATGAATAACTGGGTTGCCCCAATGGTCATCTACATGGTATTTCATATAGGCAACCCAGGTTCGAATCACCATATAGATATTTTTTATAAAACTTTCATATGAATTATTTTTATAGATTAGAGACTCTTCAAATTCTTAGTTAAAGACTAAATTTAATAAATTTAATGATAATACAACTCCCCCACTTAATTTTTCATTAAAAAGAAAGGTTATAGAAGTAGAAGGTCAATTTCTCACTACATTCCTCTTCAAATTCGAATTTCATCTCATTTTCTCTAAAAAAAATAGATATTTCATATCAAGTTAAGCTTAAGGTATAACAAGGGTGAGAAGAAGAAAGGCTTTCTATATATTTTGTTCTTTTATCCAAGAAAATTCAAGGTAGGTAGAGGTGCAAGTGTTCATTCGTTTTCAAATCTGATTTTTCGATAAATGTTTGAATGAAATGATACCTTCAGGTACGGTGCTTCGGCACTACAACAGTTTGAATGATCATTCTCTAGCTCTACGTGTTATGATAATGCTATAGTAATTGGATTTTGCCAAAAATCCATATACGTGCGACGGTATGAATCTATAGTTCGGAATTTCTAATTTGATAACGAATTACATCGATGATATCTATTGAGTTTCAAACTCATGGGTTAATTCCCTTCCTACAGGTTGAATGAATTTTCCTTGGGGGCATAGATGATGGTAAAGGATGATGCAACATGTCATGGAGAAGCCGGTGATTTACATCTTTAGTTGATTTTGAGATGTTTACACTTTCTTTAAATTTGATTCCTATGAATATTGTGTGGATCTATTTTACGAACACTCATTATGAATAAAATATGTTTGAAAGTAGATATGTGTCATAGGAATAAATTTTCAAATCACCGTATACAAAAAAAAAAAGAAAAAAAAGAAAATTAGCGACTTAAAGTTTTGATGTCTCTTCAAAAATTTTAGTTTCTGTCTCATCTTTAAAAAAATCATAACTCTTTCGTTACTTGGTATTTTTATACAAAACCAATTGGATTAGATATCTTAATAAGTTAGATACTGAATAAAATTGGAATCATGTCAATTCAATATCGGTAAAAGGTTATATGTCAGATAAAGTAAACTGTGCTGGGT